ATTAAGAAACCAACCCAATTTTTAAAAAATGGGCAAAATATTTGAACAGCCATTTTACCAAAGAATATATACAGATGGCAAAGAAGCACATGAAAAGATGCTCAATATCATTAACCATCAGGAAAATTAAAATCACAATGAGATACCACTATAGATCTATTTGAATGGCTAGAATTTAAAAAACAAAAACAAACTGACAACACCAAAGGCTAGGATGTTGAGCAACTGGAACTCTCACAGACGGCTGGTGGTTATGCAAACCGCAACGGACACTTTCAAAAATAGGTTGGCCATTTCTTATAAAGTTACACATACACTTACCATACAACCCAGGAATTCCACTCCTAGGTATTTACCCAAGTGAAATGAAAACTTATGTTCACACGAACACTTCAAAGCAAATGTTTCAGCAGCTAATACAAAACAGCTAAAAACTGGAAACTACCCAAATGTCTTTCAACTGGTGAATGGATAAACAACCGTGACATATCCACAATGGAATACTACTCAGCAATAAAAAGGTACAAACTACTGATATATGCAACAACACAGACTCTGAAACGCAACGTGTTAAGTGAAAGAAGTCAGACCACAAGCTACGTAACACCATGTATCACTATATGACACTCTGGACACCAAATGGATAGAAAACAGATCTTTGTCAGGGGCTGAGGGGAAGGGGAGAGGGTCAATGCAAAGGGGTACGGGGAGATTTAGGGGGTAATACAATTGTCTTATATCTTGAATGTGGTGGTGGTAGTTACATGACTATATGCATTTGTCAAAAGTCTCAGAACTGTACACTAAAAAGGGTGACTTTTACCATATTTAAATCATATATTAATTTAAAAAAAAAATAGAAGAAAAACAGAATCACAGATAAAGATGAGTTCCAGAGATTCTAAGAATTCTAGCCTGGGCAGCTATGAGACTGATGATGTCACTACCAGGAAAGGCTACATTACTCAGACCAAAGCCACAGGCCAGAGCCCAGCCTCTGATGGAAACACAGAGGCAGGCTCTGTCACCACCCTTCACTATTCATCCCCATCCTGTCCACAGTTTTTCTGGGCTTGGGTGAGGACTCAGTAACTGGCCACTGGAAAAAGGCATTTAAGGGAGTTGGAGACAGCTAGGCTCTCAACAGAGCCCTACAGAAAAAAAAAGCCTCAAGTCGCAGAATCAAATGTAGATGGAGGCTGAGAAGCGACCAATGCAAATCTCCTGCTTCCTGCACTTGAATCATGCCAGAGGAGAGCGATTTACACTCTTCTTAAAACAGCAAAAAGACTAGGCAGGGTGGAGTGGAGCTAGACTTATCTGGGTTTAATCACAGAATCCTTTAAGAATACAGTTCAATTACTCATTTCCTTCAAGGTGCAGTCAGCCAAGAATGGAGTGACACTATTTCCAATCAAAGCAAAATCTAGTAAGTAGTCACTTTAAGTTTGCTTTTTACATTAAAAAAAGGGGGGGGGGCGGGGGGGGGCTGGCCGTACCGTGACGTAGTGGTTAGGTTCACACGCTCTGCTTTGGCGGCCCAGGGTTCAGAGGTTTGGATCCCAGGCACAGACCTATGCACCGCTTATCAAGCCATGTTGTGGCGGCATCCCACACATAAAGAAGAGGAAGATGGGCATGGATGTTAGCCCAGGGCCAATCTTCCTCAGCAAAAGGAGGAGGACTGACAACAGATGTTAGCTCAGGGCTAATCTTCCTCACCAAAAAAAAAAAAAAAAAAGTAATGTCTACAACCTATGAGTTTGTTTACTAACTAGCAGAAGATAAGTCAAAAAAAGTAAACAGTATAACCATAATTTCCATTTTAAAGAGAACAAGTGAAAAAAAAATTAGACAATACATACTTTCCTTTACAAAAGCTGAAAAGCACACTGTAATGGAAATAGTATTTGAACAGAAGGTCACCTGGATTCTAATCCCAACTCTGCAAATAATTTGAATGTTGACTGGCTAAGTACATCACTTACTTCTCCCCAGCCTTGTAATAAAACAGGGATTAAAGAGATATGACATGTAAAATTTATTACAATAAAATGTGAGAGCAATCAGAAATTATTAAAAATACTACATAGGGACAGAGTACCAATGACATCATTATCAACTAACCTTGCTAGCAAAATGGTACTGTTTAACCAGAACTATAATGCACTGACACAAAAAGAAATTCCACTGGAAGAATGTTCAAAAGGTTGGATTTGATATATGTCAGGCTGACCTACTTTGTAACATTCAACATACTCAGGCACTGAAGTTTTTTTCAAACAGCCTGCAATGTGAAAAACAACACCTAACCTTTCTTATAAGATACTATGTCATCTTATAAGAGACTTGAACTGCAGAGATCTGAAAATGCAAACAGAAGCTTTTGCTCCATTCTGGCTCTCAGGTTATTTACCTGAAGGGGACAAAGAGCAAACCAAGACATCTCCGAGTCAGGTCTATATGGTGTCATATGATTCTTCTATCCAGATTTAATCCAGATTACTGGCCACGTCCAGATCAGAGCTGGTTCACCATGCTGCTCCTCATATCCTGGCCCTTCCTCACACACATTAATGAAAGAAACTGATACTTACTAAGCATAGGCGCAAGCAGTGAGTTAGGTGCCTTACATTCATTCGACTAATTCATTCTAACAACTCTAAAGAGAAGCGTATTTTCATCCTCAACACAAAAGAAACCTGAAGCTCAGAAAAGATAAATAACTCACTCAAAGTCAGGCCGTGGGCGAGCATCAGAGCTGCAGTGGGAACCAGGCCTGAGACTCAACCCCTCACCCTCCCTCTAGAACACGCAATCCTCACATACACAGACACCCACCCTCCCTCTAGAACATGCGACCCTCATACGCAGACACCCACCCTCCCTCTAGAACAAGTGATCCTCATACACGCAGACACCCACCCTCCCTCTAGAACACGCGATCCTCATACACGCAGACACCCACCCTCCCTCTAGAACAC